GGGAATGGCTGAGCAAGTTGTGGTATATGAATGTGATGGAATACTATTGTGCTATAAGAAATGATGAACAGGCTGACTTCAGAAAAACCTGAAAAGACTTATATGGTCTGATGCTGAGTGAAGTGAGCAGAACCAAGACAACGTTGTACACGATAACAGCCACATTGTGTGATGACTAATATTGATAAACTTAACCCTTCCTGGCAACACAAGGATCTAAGACATCTCCAGAGGCCTTGTGATGGAAAATACTATCCACACCCAAAGAAATAACTATGGAAGCCAAATTGTTATTTTTTTTTCTCTTCTGTTGAGTTTTGTCTCCTCTTTCTGATGGTTCCTATTTATTTTAATTTCTACTTACAACATCACTAATGTGAAAATATGTTTAATATGAATGTAAATGTATAGCCTATATCAGATTGTGTGCCATCTTGGGGAGGATGGTGGGGAGGAAGGGGGAGAAAAATTTTAAACTCAAAAGCATATGGAAGTGATTATTGATACATCAAAAAAATTAATAAAAAGAAAAGATGAAGTAACTTTTCCAAGGTCACACAGGGTAATAAAAATCAGATGCAGAATTTGAACCAAGGACTTCTGAATTCAGATTCAGTATTCTTTACATGGTCTCACCATTCTAGGCTGTGAATAAAAAGAAAAGAAAAGAAAAGAAAAATAAAAAGTTCCTCCTCCTACCCTACTACAACATATGTGACAAGTTGTTTCTGTTTCTGCCTGGAGACCTCCAAAGACTGGGAACCCAATATCTCTTGAAGGAGCCCATTTCATTTTTGGACAGATCTAATTATTAAGAAATTGTTGCTGATATCAACTCTGAATTTGTTTTTTTTTCAACTTTCATATATTGCTCTGATTACCTTCAGATAAAGTATTGGCTTCCTCGTAAAAAAAAAAAAAAGTTTGAGTTGTCCACAGGACAGTCAGGTATAGCAGGAAGGATTGAAATTTGGGCTGAATATATAGATTTTTAAGTCATCTGAATAGAAATGGTAATTGAATCCCTGGGAGTGGATGAGATAGCTTATGGAGGGAGAGAGTACTTGATAGAGAAAGAAAATAAGAAGGCCCAGGACAGAGCCTTGGGGGAAAACTGACAAATTAGGACAGAGGATTGATCCAGCAAAGAGTCTAAGGAAGAGTAGTGGTTTGGTAATTTTCTTTTTTTTTTTTAGTAGCATTTTATTTTCTCCAATTATGTGTAAAGACAAATTTTAACTTTTTAAAATTTTAAGTTCCTAATTTCCTCTCTCTTTCCCTTCCCTTCCCCCTCCCTAAGATGGTAAGCAATTTGATATGTTACATATGTGCAATCATGTAAAACATTTCTATATTGCTCATGTTGTGAAAGAAGAAACAGACCAAAAGAAAAAAAAAACACAAAAAAGTGAAAATAATATACTTGGATCTGCATTCAGACTTCATTAGCTGTTTCTCTGAATGTGGACAGAATTTTTCATCATGAGTTCTTTGAAATTGCCTTGGATCATTACATTGCTGAGAACAGGTAAGTCATGCACAGTTCTTCATCGTATAGTGTTGTTGTTATTGTGCACAATGTTCTCCTGGTTCTGCTCACTTCACTTTGCTGACACGTAAGTCTTTCCAGGTTTTTTTTGAAAGCATACTGCTCATCATTTCTTATCGCACAGTGGTATTCCATCACAATCATATACCACATGTTCAGCCATTCCCCAAATATTGGGCATCCCCCCAATTTCCAATTCTTTGCCACCACAAAAGGAGTTTCTGTAAATATTTTTGTACAAGTAGGTCCTTCCTTCCACCCCTTTTTTAATCTCTTTGGGATATAGACCTAGTAATGGTATTGCTAGATCAAAGGGTATGCACAGCTTGATTGTCCCTTGGGCACAGTTCCAAACTGCTCTCCACAATGGTAGAATCAGCTCACACCTCCACCAAAACAAATTAGTGCCCCAATTTTCCCACATTCCCTCCAACATTTATCATTTTCCTTTTCTGTCATATTAGCCAATCTGACAGGTATGCGGGGTTGTTTTAATTTGCATTTCTCTAATCAATAGTGATTTAGAGCATTTTTTCATGATTATAGTTTTGATTTCTTCAACTGAAAACTGCCTGTTTCTATCATTTGACCATGGCAACTTTCTAGGGACATTGAGGCTCAACTCTAAGAGGAATGGGGTGTGTTTTGGGATGATACAGCAAATTCTAGGTAATTTCTTAGTCCTCCCTCCACTACATTTCCCATCCTGTAAGTGATGGTAGTGTTGGTTACTGCATTTTAAAAGCTCTCTCTCTCTTTCTCTTTTCCCCCCGCTAGAATGCACAGAAGTTCCATGAGGGTTTGGAGAGGGATGAGGATCCTTCCCCACCCTGGCAGCATGGTATCTGGTAATACATGGTAGCACCCACATGGCCTGCTAGGCTAGCTTAAGCCTAGTCTTTGGGCTTGTGGCTGTCTGTTCTGCTTAGTGTTACTTTTGTGAGTATAGGTGTCTGAATGGCAGTCATTCAGATGAATAAGTCCAGCGTTGGAGACAGCTTAGAGGGCTTGAGAGAGGTGGGGAAATGCTGGATCCTTCATTTGGAGCTTATGGGCAGCAGGAGGAGTATATTGCAACTACATCCTTCTTGGAGAAGATGTGGTCAGCAGAAAGATGAGCCCAAGTCCTGGGATGGCTTACCACAGGACAAGGACCCAAAGGGAATTGTCTGGACCATGCAGTGCCAAGGAGAAGATGAAATGCAGATTTAGTAATCTCAAAATCTCTCATCATCTTATATTTTAAACTAGCAACCTCTCAGGAGAATATAAGAGTAATAAGTTGTCAATTTGAGCCTGTAGATCTCTTATTTTGTTATGCATTCTTTTGTGTGGGAGAAAAAATAGTTGCTCTATTCCTAATTTAATTGTACATTGAGTATCTTTCAACTTTTCTCTTTTGGGAGACCCTAGATGTGTCAATACCTAAGCATAAAGTAATTTTTTTTCTTGGAACTGGGTGGGGCATAAAAAACCAGAAAGAATGAGAATAAGAACCCTTTCTTTGGTGGCCAGACTTACTAAGATTGAGTATATGGTCCGTGCTCTTGTGAGTCCAGAGCTGAAAGGAGGCCCCTTGGTAGAGAGGGAGAGGACTAGTGCCTACCTCACAGTGGTAATCTGTTGTGCTGTTATAAACTCGGCACAGAGTCAACTGTGTCAAAGTTGTAGAGAAATCAAGGAGGATGAGAACAGAGAAAAGATCATCAGATGTAGTAGTAGGCAATGGTTAGGAAATTTTGCATGAGATTCGGCATAATATGGGTAGGAAGCCATATTGCAAAAAAGCTAAGAAATGCCTTAGGGGAAGTCATTTTGATACCATGGAAGGTATATATTTAACTTCTTTAGGTTTGCATTTCCTCATCTGTAAAATGAGAGGGTCGGCCTAAATGACTTCTAAGGTTCCTTCCAATCTTAATATGATATTGTGATCCTAAATAGTTAGTGTGTTATAGTAGACAACAGGGTGGTGGAATAAAGCTAAATCCTTCCAATGAATAAAGACAAACAGTTACCCTGCAAGATTAAATGTTATATATATATCCCTGAACACTTGTTGTGCTCAGGACCTGAAATGCCCTCATACATAAACCTATTTTGAAAATTATGCAAAAGGTAGAAAATTAGAGGAAAGAATAATACTTTATTTTTGTATATCCCTTTAAATTTTTTTCCTCTAAGTATTACCATTTCCTTGCCCCTATTAGAATATGAGTTCTTTGAGAGCAAGGACAGTTTTTTGCCTTTCTTTTTCTACCCAGTGTTTAGGGAAAACTACTACTTGGCACATGGTTGGCATGGAGTAAGTCAACAAATGTTTATCAAGCGCCTACTGTTTGCCAGGCACTGTGCTAAAGGTAGAAATACAAATGGAATGCCAATCCCTGCCCTTAAGGAACTTACATTCTAAGAAGGAAAGACAACACTCAAAGGAGAGCTGAAAAGAGGAACGTGAGGGAGTACAGATGAGGCAGCTTAGCAGAGAAAGTCCAGAGTCAGTCCTCAACCCTGGAGAGTGATGAAGACATGGTTAGTCTGGGTGCTTTCCTTAAAAATCAGTAAAACTCACTATGTATATGCATTTATATGTGTATATATATGTAAAATGAAAAGGCCTTTAATTAATCAACAAGCATTTATTAAGTACCACATGCCAAGCACTATCTTAGAAAGTAGAACTATATACTAATTCTAATGTAATTCCATTATCTCAATTCATTTTCACAACAACTCTCTTAAGATATACGAAGGGCCCTATCATTCCCATTTTGCAGATTAGGTGACTGGGGCATGAAGAACCCAAGTGATTTCGAAAGATCCAGATAGTAACAGCTGGGACTGAGAGCCCGGGCTCCTGCCTACCCTCCAGTTGTTTGGGGGCTGGGAGGTAAGCGTGCTATTCTTATCCTGAGGCTGAAGTGGTACCCACGGGGCCCGCCTACGCCGTCGCCTGCATACCAGGACGCTCCAGCAGAGCGGGACCACGAGCCCCGCCCTCTGGATCAGTTGCTAGGGTTGTTTTGGCCGCTGCCTGCCCTCCTCCTCCCGGGACTACCCCTTGCTTGTCGCTGCGGGTTAGGCTAGGCTGTAGCATCACTCGCTAGGCTCTATGATGCACCTACACTACCCTGCAACCAAACCCGTAACTTACCCGACTTACGCGCCACCCCCGATCACTCGGGGAGGGCGGGGGAGGGCTTCTCAAATACCTAGCCGCAGCGGAGGCCGAAAGATCCACCTTTCCAGCTCAGCCTCCAGAGTCACAAGGCCGAAGCCCTCCGCGGGAGGGCTGGCCGCACTACCGAACACATCACGTGCTGCGAGCTCGGCGCACGCCTCCTCCTCCTCCCCCCCATCCCCCTCTGTCCTCGAGCTCCAGAGCTGACCTCATGGCCCCTCCCCCTTGCAGTGACGTAGAAAGCCTCGCCTCTTTCCTTTTCTCCGGCTAACCAGCTACTGACCCAAGGAGGCGACAGTCGTCGCTGACCGTGGACGCTGCGGTTTGGTCTTGTCCTCCTCGCCGCTTCCCTTTTCTCGGGGAGGGGGGTGTCGCAGGGACTCGGCCAGCCCCGGTAGGTAGCGCCCCGGCCGGCGGTGGGTTGCTTCGGCCAGCGCTCGGGGGGCCTTCCCCCTCCCCCTCCCCCCGCCCCAGGGGACGCTCGCCCGCCTGGGCTGGCGGTCCCGCTGTCCGCGTCTGGGAGCGTAACAAGTAGTGGGGGAGGGGGCGCGCCTCGTTCTCGTGGCGCTTTGCAGCTCGCGTCGCTTCGTTCCTCCCGCGGCAGGGTCCTGGGCAGGACTGCGGAGCCTGGGATTTGAGGCTCCCGGGAAAGCGGGGCTGTCCATCGATCCTTGCCCGGGGACCCTTCGCTCTGCCCCCATGGCCCCACCGCCTGGGCGGCTCTGGGGATCGAGGACTCGTTGGTATTTGTGTTAAGGCTTTATCCCGAGTGTCCGTGGCTGCTGCTGTTCCCATTTTTCAGCTCAAGAGGAGACAGGAGAGGTGTCGCTGTTTGTAGGAGGCAGGGTGGTGGATATAAGGGGGGCGAGGTTAGAGTGATTTCGTCGTGGTGGTGTAGAAGTCCCCCCACCAAACTGGGAGTTAGGAGACCCGGGTTCTAGTTCTGGCTGCCAGTCAATAGCAGTGTGACCTTGAACAAGTGTCTTCCCCTCTCTGGGCACATTTGCCTGTAGTGACATCACTGGCTTGCCCCCCAAGTGGGACCTGGGGCTTGTGCATCTTTAAATAAAGGGTTTGAATTAGAGGATTTCTGAGCACCTTCTATCTCCAAAATCCGATGATTCTATTCAACAAAAAACGTTTATCAAGTGGAAGGCGCTGTGCCAGGTGCTGGGAATACAAAGATGAAAAATGCCAAAGTGCCCCCTTCAAGAAGCTTACATTCTCTTGGGAATGAACAAATGAATGAACCGACCTTATATGAGGTAGAATGTAATGGGAGTAAATTAGAAATCCAAAGTGTTCTTGAAAAGTTTGAGGAAGGAGAGCTGGGGAGAGAGAGTAGGCAGAGATGGGGAAGTAGCACTTGACCTGGCCTTAGAGGGATATAAAAAAATAATGAAGTGAATGTATCACAGACATGGAAGAGCCTGAGTGAATGAATGCTCCTTAAAGTGCTATAATGCAACTCTTTGGTGATGATTCTGATTTATCCAGACTTACTTTTGATGTCCAATTTGAATCCTTCCTTCAGGGGCAGAGGTAGCATGGGAAGGCTTATAAGTAAGTATATGAAGTGGGGGGAATTAGGGTTCATTTTAGCTGAGGTTTGCAGAAAACTTTCCTGTTATTATTTGAAGAAAGTTAAAAGAAAGTTTTAGTTCTAGTTAAGGTTGAGAACAATAAATATCTTTACAAGCTGAAAAAAAAATGTGTTGCTTCAAATAGTTTTACTTGTATTTATGTAGTACATTATAATTTTCAGCATTTTTTCACATACTCAAAATACCTTTTCTTCTTTCAAGTTCTTGCCAGCCAATTATAACTTTTGGATTCCTTTGTCAGTCATATCCACTAACCTTTAAGTACTCATTTTTTTCAGTGACTTTGGCATCTGGCTTTACACTCTTCCATTTCTAACCTATTCTTTGCTATCAACTGCCACTTTAGTATTCATATTATTGATGCAACAAATACACTGGCTTCTTCCTTCCTCAGTCATTTCACTTCCCATGACCTTCCTCTCTGTTCTATCTTGGGTCATATCTTAGACTTCACTATCACTTAGAACTGTTACTTTCAAACTTGTGAACACCGACATTCCCTTTCTGACTAGTTTCCCACATATTTCTACCTCTAATTGCTGTTGCATTCCTTCTGTACCTGTTTTTCTCCCTTTCTTTGATTTTTATTCCTTAACTCTCCCTATTCTTAATCTGTTACCTTTGCTCTTTTTGTTTCCCTTTTTCTGAATCTATAGTTCACTACTTCAGCAATATACTCTTTTCCACACTTGAATCCCTTGCCCTTTCTAAGTCTTGATCATTCATTCCCTGCTCCATCCTGCCTTCTCTTTTCTTTAATAATGCTACCCTCCATTCCAGGAAGAGGTCTTCCTGCTTTTCTGTTGTCCTCCCTGCCTCCATCCCCATCTCTGTGAAACTTCTCACTTCATTGAAAGCTCGGTACATATGCTGCCTACAGCATGAAGCCATCTCTTGAAGTGGTCTCTCTTTTTTCAAATTTATCATTGCATTTTGTTTTGAATTACTCATTTGAACTTATCACATTCTGCCTCATCATAACTATTTCAGTGTCTTCTATTATTTCTTCTATTAGATGGTAAGCTGCTTGAGGGCACAGTCTTATGTTTTAACTTATCTTTGTACTACCTAAGCACTGGGAATTAAGTGCTTTGAACATATTAGTTCATTAAAAGTTGTTTGCACAATTTTTCTGTTGGTCCATTTTGTTTGATACAATGGTTACTTTTTTCAATTTAGATGTGTGTAAATTTTGACTGTGCTTTCTAATTTTGAGAATAGAAACAGGTTTTTTTTAAAGACTTAATCTTAATTAAGCTCTGTATTTATTTAGCATCCATTTATTAATCTATCCAAAAGTGATTTATTAAGTGATAACTGTGGGTCTGGCACTGGGCTAAGCACTGTAGATACAGAGAAACCCCTCAATCCCCCTCCCAAAAAAAAACCAGAAACAAAAAAGAAAAAAAAATAACCTAACCCACAGACTCTACTCTTGAAGAGCTCACATTAGAATGGGGAAGACAACTTGTAAATTAATACTTACAGACAAGATATATACAGAGCAGGAGGAAGGTAATTCCAGAGAAAAGGCATTAGCAGAAACGGGAGAGTGAAAGGCAAAGGGACCAAGAAAAGGCCTCCTGCAGAGGTGTTTGAACTGAGTCTTGAAGGAAACCAGGAATGCCAAGAGCCTGAGGTGAGAAGGGAGAGCATTACAGGCATGGAGAATAGCCAGCCAGCAAAAAGGCACAGAAATGGGAGATGGGAGTTGTGTTTGAAGAACAGCAAGTAGATGTGTATTGTTGGATCATATAATATATGGAGGAGGAGTAAAGTGTTGGAAGACTAGAAAGGTAGGAAGAAGTCAGGTTGTGAAGAACCTTAAATGCGAAATAGACATTTATAGGAAGATCACTTTGACAGCCGACTGTAGAATAGTCCATGAGTTATGGATCAGGGGATGTACATGAGAGATGTTGTGGAGATAGAAGTAGAAGCAGAAGGCAGGAGTTTAGATATATGAGGTGAATGAGACCAAAGAGTCTAGGATGACACTGAGTTTGTGGATCTGGATAATTGGGAGGATGGTACTGCCATTGGTAGTAATAGGAAAGTTGGAAAGAGAGGAGAGTTTTGGGGAAAAGATGATGAGTTCTGTTTGGGGCATGTTAATTTTGAGGTATCATGGGGATATCCAGTTAGAAATGTCCAATGGGCAATTGGAAATACAGGTATCTCAGAAGAGAGACTTGGGCTTGAAATACAGATTTGTAAATCATCTGCATAGATTTAATCGAACCATGAGAGCTGATAAGGTCACCAGGAGATAGTATTAAGAGAAAAGAGAAGAGGGCCAAGAACAGAGCATTTAGGGAATACTCATGGTTAGTGGGCATGATCTGGATGATAATTCAGGCAAAGGAACCTGAGGAGTGGCCAGACAAGTACGGAGAAAACCAAGAGAACAGTGTTACAAAAACTAAGACAAAAGAGAAGAATCCCAATAGGAAAAAAAACACAAAGGAGATGGTGTAGAGATGAAGAGGATTGAAGATTGAAAAAAGGCCATTAGATTAGGCAATTAAGGGATCATTAGTAACTATCAAGAGCAGTTTCACTTGAATGATGTGGTGGAAAGCCAGATTATAGAAGGTTTATAAAATAGAGGAGGGGAACTGGAAGCATTGAGTATAAACACTCTTTTCAAGGAGTTTAGCAGAGATGGGGAACAAATATATAGAGTAATAGCTAGCAGGGATAGTAAGATCAAATAAGAGTTTTTTCAGCATGGGGAGATCTCATGGGCATGCTTGTAGGCAGTATGGAAGAAACCTTAATAGGTAGGGAAAGACTGAAGATTTGTTCCAGGATAGAAATTTTGAGAGACAAAGTTCTAAGCACAATCCATTTATTGGTCAGGCTAGCAATTGGCAATAAAAGGGGTCAGTGGCTTCTCTCAATGACTAAAGACCTTGAGTTAGGGATGTTAGGATCCTTTGTAGTGATTAACAAGATGACTGAGCAAACTATTAATCCATATAAGTGTGTCTTCTTATTGGCTAGATGTTTCAATGAGGAGGTGGGATAAGTGTCATCTCAGCTTCTTCCCATTGAGAGATGAGATCAGTTTTCAGGTGATGAGATTAATCTAAAGTCAACTGGGATGTGAAATTAAAGATTGATTTTTAATTCTATTTTGTTAAGACTTAAGCCAAATTTAATGTTCCCCTTCACTATTCGTTACCCTTGTAACTTCACCTACCACCCACATTCTGGAGAAATTTGATTGATTAACCTAAAAGGTCAAATCTCATAATTTGAAACTGTAGGCATATCTTGGTTTATTGTGCTTTGCAGACATTGTGTTTTTTTAATAAATTGAAGGTTTGTGGCAACTCTTCATCAAGCAAGTCTGTCGCATGTGCTCACATCATATCTGTGTGTCACATTTTGGTGATTCTTGCAATATTTTGAACTTTTTCATTATTATTATATCTGTTATGGTGATCTGTGATCAGTGATCTTTGATGTTACTATTGTAATTGTTTTGGGGCACCACGACCCATGCCCACATAAGACAGTGAACTTAATTGATAAATTTTGTGTTTGTTCCACTTAACAACATTCCCTGTCTCTCTCCCTCTCTTCTGGCCTCTCTGTTCCCTGAGACTTGACAGTATTGAAATTAAGCCAATTAATAATCTTTCAAATGGCCTGTAAGTGTTCAAGTGAAAAGAAGAATCAATTCATTTGGCAAACATCATTGTTGTTTTACTTTAAGAAAATGCTACAAGTTAGGGGTGCTAGGTGGTGCAGTGGGTAGAGCTCCAGCCTTGGAGTCAGGAGG